CTTTTACTTCCTACCATTTCTTTCCAACTTCTTTTTTCTTTAATAGGAACACGATAAAAATATCTCGTAAAGTGACTAATAGAGTATGAATGATGTCATATTTCAAACGTAATATTAAGGTGTGGGTGCGTCAGTGTGGATGTGTGATTGTGGGCGAAGACGAGAGTAACACTCACATCCGCTCCACACCCTTTGTCAGTTCTGTCTGTGAAAATTTTTTTCCACAATGCGAAGCGTCGTTTGAAAAGGCACGACTATAACGACAGGGTAGCAGAGAATTTTATTCGGTCTGAATGCATTAAAATGCTAAAATTTACAACGTGAGGGTGTGGATGTGGGTGATGAGAAGATATCAACACCCGCACCCTCTTGCACATAGCTCTGATAATGTTTACCTATCGATAGATTTAAATAGTAAATAACATAAACACTAATTAACGAAATGTTTCTGAAACGGAAGTATGTATCTAAATCATATCGAAATCAGTTGGCCACTGATGAGTCGTAAATTTCTTTATCGAAAATTTAAGACAGTTATAAACATTCTAGATGCTTATAAATCTGACCTATTTCTAAATCAATTTTTGATTTATAAACTTGAAATCGATCTGCAAAATGAGTTGACTTATACACGCATAGACAGCATACAAACACAACTTGTATTCTTATTAAATTTATAGCAAGAGAATTTCTCGCAAAAGTTTTGTCTCTTAGATTTTTTCCATCTTAGCAGTAGACTTTGAACCACTGATGGGAAATTTATGAACACCTAGTCTATTCATAAATCGATCAGATTGATAAATATTTGTAATATTTATCAATAGTCCTAAATTTTTGCTGATTTACGTTAGGTTTAAATTTTCGAAAAAATCATTTTGGACTCAATTGTGCAGTTTGCCCTGTTTAAAATTAGGCATCGAATCTGTTCGATGAATACATATGAGGATGTTGGAGAAGCGTTTGATACGTTAGTGGATTAGTCAACAAGAAAAATGATGAAACTTTTACTGAAAATGAATCAATAAGTTAAGTCATTTGATAATTGCAAACACTCTTTGAATAGTTATTGAATCTTTAAATAGTTATGAAAATATTTAAATAGCGTTAGATTTTTATAGCTAAACAGACGATGAAGCGAAATAAACGAATAGTTGCTATGCAGCAAGCGCTACTTAAATTATTCAGTAGTTATATGTTATTCGAAAAAGTATCTCTTTTGAGAAGCTGCACTTCGGGCTTCGGATCATTTGTCTTTATCACATAAAATCAAAGTACACTACAACGGAGATAGGAACTGATTCTCATGTAGAGATGACTGTCAACCAATACATACCGAATGTCTTTATTCTCTGAATTAGCTTCGACTTCCCATTCAAATGGTTCTAACAGAGCTATTGAAATGATCAGATTGATGTTTGAATGGGTCACTTCTGTTATTTTCATCACCCTCCTTCCTTGAAATAATGATTGTTAAGGTTCCACTCCCCCGATACTTTATTCGATGTTTCCCCCTTACACGACGAATCACACACACGAATGAAAATGAGAAAAAAATAGGAAAAGGATAGAAGTCAAGAAGGAGAAGATGATTCCATGGTATGTGTGGATACACACAGACCATAACAATGATCTACTTCAAAAGCAAGAGAAGTAAAACTCTTGTTACTGAGTATTGATAGCTGTTCAAATTTCATTCTTTGAGAAAGGAAAAGCTCTTCTTCTGACAGCTATCCATGAGATTTTTGCGATATTGAATTAGGTGACACGCAACAACATTTGTCTTTTCGTCTCAACGAGGTCTTCTTGAGATTTCTGAATAATATTCACTTGACATTCAACATCGATCAAGAATTCAACACATAGACGAATGAAAACAAAAAGATAGTTATTTTAAAAAAAGCAAAAATTCTTAGAGAATACTCACTGATGATGAAATTCCAAGCTTCCTCAATTATTCTTGCTTCTACATCATCCAAATGTGTAGAATATTGCGATTCAGAAGCATATCGAATAATTCTCGATCATTTTCAATCAAATCTTTTCAATTCGAACGCCAGAATCAGTGAAGAAAAGTGGTTTTTCTTGAAAATAAATCAGTGAATCTTTGTTTTAGAGATACAAGTTCATTTGCCATGGTTATTTACAATAGATCGAAAACAATCGACAAGAAACAGTCTTTGATACATTTCTATTCTCAACTTCGTTTAGAATGAATGCCGTTGATTTGTCTTGAATCTTTTTTTCTTCGATTTTTTAAAGATCGTTGCAATTCTCTCTATCTGATTAGATATTCGAATAAATTTTCTCCAAACTGGATCTTTGGAAACCGATTTTTTTCCTCAATGACGGTACATCTGATTGTGGATCTGAGACTAGATCCTGATTCAACGTGTTGGACTTGTATAAAATATCCGTTTTCGTAGAGACAACTATCATTTTTGGAAGATTTTCGATCACCTATTTCGAAATTTAACTGGACATAGAAAAAAACAGCAAAGCACATGAATAGAAAAAAATGTTTTTTCGATTTTCGTCTTGAAAAAGGGATTACATTCGGTTAAATCATCTCCAATAGATAAGCAATGAATAAAGAGAAAACCTGGAATACGACTTATTTTCAATGCAGAAATTTTATTTCTAGTACAACTGACTATTTGATCTTGAATCATTTTTTTCTTCTTCGATTTCTTTTCAATCTTATACAATTCTCTCTATCTGGTTGTAGATGGAGATTCAGCATGATAGATGAGATAAAACTATGGTCATCAGAAGAAAGAAATGTCTTCCAAGAAGGTTTTTTCGACAGATTTTCTCAAAATCAGGTCTTTGAAGATTCAAATAGATTTTTGTCCAGAAACAATACATGGAAGTTTCGTTCTGAATGAGAAATGAAATTCAGCATGATTGATTTCCTCAGGACAACTATAATCGAAAAGAGAACTTCTTGATTTGACGAATTTTTTTGCAAATTTCAATTTTGCTGATCAGCAATGATGGTATTAAAATCTTTTTTTTTCACTTCAAGTTTATTTTGAAATCTTTGCCAATCTCTCTATCTGTTTCGATAGTCGAATTCAGTATGACAGAAATGAATTAAATCTATTTCATTCTGTTCGTTGAAGGTTTCTTCGACAGAGAGTGCAAAGAGAAAAATATTTCATCGAAATAAAAAATCAGTTCGATTTATTTTTAAAAATAAATTGAAATTTATATCGACTGAAATAAACATTAGTGATTAATATTTGATCTTTTCTTTCATAAACATAAACGGAATGTCTTGATCTATTATGAAAAATTTTTTCTAAAATTTCTTTAAGATAAAGATCATCTTGAGCAAAATATTCTAAAGGAATAACTAATTTCCAAATATTTTCATGAGAAATTCCAAGTAAACTTTTCCAACCTCTTCGAGCATATAATGGAATTGATAATTTAAATCCATGATTTAAAACTAAGACTAATTTTGTATGTAAACCTCTTTCATTGAGACCTCGATGAGAAAATTTTTCTAATGTAAGTTTTTGTAGTGGAGATATTACATTTGGTTGTAAAGAACCATTTTCATAATCAAATGCAATTTGTGGACCTCGTTCAAAACCAGTATGAGGAACTGATTCCGATGAAAATTCATCTTCATCGATAATCATATCATTAATAACTTGAAAATTCCATTTCGCATGATAAATATTTTTAAAAAAATATCCATTTTGTCCTAAATGATTTTGTCCTTGAACTCTTAATTGTCGATTATTTTGTCCCCATCCTATTTGAAGAATGGAAATATTTTTAGTTAAACGAGCTTTTTCATCTAAAGATATTGAAGGTTGTTCAATCCAATCTTCACTAGGAATAATTCGAATTAATGGAATAATATTATTTTGATTATATGTAGCTCTTAATGCTGGATTTGATCCAATAGAATCAAAATCAGCGAATCGTGTAAATATTTTATTTATTTCTTTTCCATATTCATTTCTTGCTCTTTGAATAAGAAAAACCGTCGATGCACTAGCTGCCATTGTTTCAGCTTTAAATTGTCCATCTTCTGGTGTTGTTAATTCATTATCAAATTTATTCTGTAACCATGGATCAGCAAAGAATATTCTTGTTCCATCGTCATTTAAAATATAAATCGTTGTAACACCAACATATGGATCAGGATGTTTTTTTCCTTTCATATCTGTATAATACATTGTATCATGTCCTTTATGTGACATAGCAATACTTCGATAATTTGGAAGAGATTTTAAAATAGGATTTTTGAATAGATTGACAATAAGTGAAACTCCATCCATATTAAACCATTTTTCTGTCCATTTAACTCTTGATTCGAGAACTTTCCATTGTGGACAATCAAATGAAACTTCACAAATAACTTCATTACTTTTAGCATAATGAATTATTTGATTTTGATCAACAGCTAAGATATTATCACCATCAGCACTGACAGATATTAATGGAATTTTTGTATTATCAATAGAACCATTTTTATTAAATAATTTCCATGATGCATGTGGATGTGCAGCAATTGGTTTAAACCAAATTTTTCCATCTCTAACTACATAAAAATATTTTGAATCCATTGCATTTGTTCGTGTACTAACATAAAAAGGACCAATTTCTAAAAAAGATTTTTCTTCTCCATCTTCATTAATGGATTTTTTACTTAAAAATTTCGATAAAATCATCAATGGATATGTTATAATATGAAGTAAAATAGATGTTATTCGAGGAATAAGATCTCTTTTAGCAAAGACTATTTTTCGAAAAACTTTATCTTGCGATGAATCAATTGGATATGGACGTAAAACATCACTTTCGTCATTCATGGTATCAAAATATCCGTCGAATTGATCTAGAATAAAAAAAAAATCGGCTGAAATATGGAACTTTATTATCTTTGAAAAAATGTCGAACTGTCCTCTTTTCTTTCTTTTGTCGATATTAAAGAAAGAATGATTCACGGTAATCGGTTCTCTATACGAAAAGAAAAATATTCGTCAGAAAAAAAATTATCGGACATTACTTCTATTTATTTAATTTCTCCTTTTGTCGAAATGAAAGAGAAAAAAAACCACGTTCTATGATAAGAATTTTAAAATAGATTGTGCGTGTCCCATGTAGCCGGTCGGTTAAATAATAGATGCAATTACATGATAATGCAACCTATTTCATGCATCGTAATGCATTATTTTCGCAGATAATGCATTATCATGTAATTGCATCCATTATTTAACCGACCGGCTACATGGGTGTTATTCTCAATGATAGAGACTTTTTTAAAATATATATTAAATGAAACTGTGTTAAACATCAACATTATTCGTTTTGGTTTTTATCAATGTTTGAAATGAATAGGATAAATAATGATATCTTCAAAACGTGATTTCCCATTGGTGAAGATCAACATCATTTTGTGTGAATTAATTTTTCATCATTTCGTCAAAAAAAAGATGTCGCAAAATTCCATAGTAAGGATACATAAAAGTGGATTTTCGCTTCTCATATTCGAAATCTTTGATTTGTTGAGACAGTTTTTATTTATTTACCTCAGTATTACAGTCTAATAAACTTTGTTGCACATAGTTTTTCGGGGCATGAAAAAATGATTCCTAAAAGCCGAAGTACACCTTGGGTGTGGGTGGACGTGGGGTGCGGGTGTGGGCGTGGGTATGTGAGTGTGGGTGTGGGTGTGGATGTGGATGTATGGGTCTTCTCTGCATTCACACCCACACCCTCTAGATGATCGGGTCTCTGATCACTGGAGAAAAGCTCGTGCAACCTTAGACAAACGAGAATATACGAATTATAGATGTAGATGTGAGTTAATAAGAACCTCACTCATACCAACACTTAAACACTCACAAATACACATACCCGCGTTCACACCCAGTTTTCTATTAAATGCTTTTCCGACAACTGAGGAATACATCTAGTTACATGAGTTATCTATAAAATTCTGTTTTTAATTATTATCAAATTATTGGGACTACATTGCGTTCTCCTATTGGTACTATATCTTTTACAGATGCGAACAAGTGCTTTTGGAATAAGTATGAGCACCACATTAGAAAGTTTCTAGATTCCAACTGCTTGAAGTTCTATTATTCATTTGTTTTTTGTTTCGTCATGCTTGCATGATTCAAGAGTGAAGTAGAAACCAGATGGTATCAGTTCTTCTTCTTCATCAAAGTCCGAGTACTCAGATAGATCGCTGTTGTACTGTCGCCTGTTTGGATGGTAAATAGAGTATTACCATCCATAAACTCGGCTATTGCTCGACTGCGACTAGTTGACAAAGAGTTAGAGAAACAAATCATTCTTTTCGAAGGACTGACATCTTCACATTTCTTTCGATACTGCTCAATAAAATAATCAGCCAAGTTTACACTACGATAGACAGTCATAGGTTTGCTCGATTTGGATGTGGGTGTAAACCCACACTCCACACTCTAGAATATAGTAGTAATTAGCAACCATTTACAATTCATGGATAGCCTATAATTTAAGTATACGTTTATTAATCTTCACTAATTCAATAAATGCAAACGTTTGAAATTAAGTTCATAATCTTCGAATAGAATCATTAACATTTTATTTTGGAAATTATAGTAAAGATCTAATTCACTCTAATAATACGAATATTCTGTTTTTTTTTCATAGTATTTATATAGTTGTAAATATCACAATGACGATCATTTTATTGAGTAATAGTCAACGTATTATTCCAAATAATATACAGTTCTTTATAATCAATCAAAACTACACGTTGGAGATAACTTCTCCATGTTAAATGTTTCATGCACTTTGAACTTCTTATTTCTTCCATTGATTATGATCGAAGCCTTGTACTCATATAGAATAGTATCATCAAATAAAATACTATTGCAGATAAAATCAAAAGTTTATATACTAGGTTACATGATTTTATAATACAAAGATAGATACTTTTCAATCTTCATACTTTTATTTAACAAAATTGATCTGTATTGCGCTACATATACCTACATCAATTAAGTGATGATTAATTTTATGTAAAACATAAACAAACATGAAAAAAAAGATTCAAGAGCGTTTAGTAATTCTTGCTCGTAACCCATACTTAGATCGCATTGTAATACGAACCTCAGGTACAATTTTTTGACCAGGTTCTAATTCAAAATTACATCGTTGTACAAGCATAGCTAACATAATTTTAGCTTCAAGTAGAGCAAAATTTTGTCCAATACAGTTACGTGATCCAGCCGCAAATGGTAAATAACTAAATGGATGAGCTAATTTTGGTTTAAGACCTGTTACAGGATCTCGAATCCAACGAGTATAATCAAATTCAAGTGGTCGAGACCAAAATTCTTCTCGTCGATGAAGAATATAAGTATTAACGACAATTACTGCTCCAACAGGAATACGTATTTGACGATGACCTTCACTACCTATATAATGTTCATGCATACATCTTCGTGAAATAAAAGGTGCTGGGGGATATAGACGAAGGGCTTCTTGTAGAACAGCTTCGCATATGATTAGGTCATTTATATTCTCATAAGTAGGTTCAATACCATTAGGTAGTACTCTATCGACTTCATCTCGACAAGCTTGTAATACTTGTTCATTTGTCATTAATACATACATAGTCCATGCCATTAAATTACCTGTTGTTTCATGACCAGCGAGTACAAACGTTAATGCTTGATCTTTAATTTCTTGGTCATTAAATGGTTGTCCTTGAGTATCGACAGCTGAAAGAAGAAGATCAAGAATATCTTCCCCAGAAGATAAACTAGTTGATCGATTATGTCGACGATCAGCAATAATTTGATCGACAAATTTTGAAATTTCTCGTGAACCCTTATCTAAAATATTTTTACGCCAAAATGGCAGTTGTGAAATGACAGGTATTTGATCGATCATTCGCACTGTTCGATATTGTATCGCTTCCAATAGTTCAGTAAATGTTCGGCATACAATTTGTTTCGCATTAGCCATAGTTTCAAAACATTTACCAAATGCACACGATGCAATAATACTTAATGTTAAAGTATTTAATTCTGTCTGTAAATCGATGATTTGATGTTCAGTTGATAATAAAAGAATTTCATCAATAGCCTTGTTAGTCTGATTCACCATTATAGAAATCATTGATTGTAGTTTGATAAAATGAAAAGCTGGATTAAGCATTTTTCGTGCACGTTCATGTTCTGATCCTTCGCTAACTAATAGATTATGTACACCAATTAATGGTTTAAAAAAGCTGTCAGTACCAATTGGCTTTCTATAATCTTGTGCATGTGATCGACCAAAAACATCAGCAAGCATATCTGGTTCCATTACAATTAAACGTATTGATGGACCGAAACCTATTACATAAACATAACCATGTTTTCGAACAAGTTTCATTCGATAATTCAATGCATCATCATTTTCAGACGCACGACGTATATCAGATAATTGACCAACAAATGGTACGAACGGTTCACATGATACACCTTGACTACGAAATATATCGTAGAAACGTTTTTGTGGACGAATTAATTTCCAATAAATAAAGAAGAAAATGAAAAAAATTAGTCCGACAATGGTATATAAAAATATGAATAGAATCATATTTAACGCATTCAAAACTCGAGAGAAAAACAATCTTATATAGGCATATGCTGATGATGAAGCAAAAACTTTTTTTTCTTTCTTTCTCTGCTATGATGAAGCAGTTTTAAATATCAAAGACACATTTCATCCTAAAAGAACAGAACAACAATAAAAAAAACGTACCATCGTTCGTCAATATCACTAACATACATTAGGTGACTCAGTGAGCACTTTTTTAATCATCTTGTATTTATATGCTCGTTGAGAATGATGAATCTCATAGAATACGGACATGCAAGAAAAGAAATCATTGTTGTTTTTACTGGAGACATTAAATAAAATAAAGATAGAATCTTCTAGTGTAGATGTGAGAATACTTCCTATTCCCAAAAGTTACACATTCCTGCATCGCCTTCTGACCCGGAATCACTTACCATCAATTCCGGAAATGCTGACACGACCCTTTCGCTCAAACACATGCCACAACCAGGAATTCCTGATTATTAGTTCCTTTCCGATCCAACTCTGAACATTCAATTCCGGATCATTCCGGGTATTTACACAATTCGAAGGACCTAATGAATAACGAAATAATCATCTTAAAACGTCGATTCCATATACAAGCGGAATTCCGGAATTTGTGCACATCCGGAATCAGTAGGAAATGCAGGAATTTCTGGTCATTCCTGCATATTCCGGAATTACAGATACCTAATGGATGGCTAAGTGATCATTTATCGAGCTTCAATAAATGCAAAGCGGAATTCCGGAATTTCTGCACATCCGGAATCAGCAGGAAATGCAGAAATTCCTGGTAATTCCACACCCATGCAATTCCGGTATTCTAAACCTGTATTGCATGTGAATTTCCGTAGCAAGGTTTAGTTGAACATGAGTACATGAACCTATGCAGGAATTGGCAGGAATTCTTGGTCATTGCATATCCATGCAATTCCGAAATTCTAATATGGAATTGCATCTTTGTTTCTATAACAATGTGCAGTTGAACATGAATACATCAGTCTATGCAGGAATTGGCAGGACTTGCATAAAATTCGATGGCATGGGTAGGAATTGGAATGCAGGAATTGCGGAATTGAATGATGATGAGTTTGATGGCCTTATGCGATGCAGGAATGTGTAACTTTGCGGAATAGGATGACTGCTCCTACTTTCACATAAACAAGCAGATCAACTGAAATATTAAACTTGTACAAATCTCAATAAGAAACTTCAATAAGATTCATCATGATTGTGTTATTTCTCTCCAACTAACTCAGTTTATTAACATCCTTTTGAAAATACATACTAGATAAGTTTTCTACACTAAGCTAATTTTTTTAGACTCGAAAATCAATCAATTTTCCTATAGGAAAAGGTCAATGTGTAGCACAGAGTAGACAATGAAATTAATTTCATAATTAATGAAAGTTGCACGGAAACGGGCAGGCAGGTCGGGTCTTGGCAGCTATCGCCGCGGAATACGGATGGAATTGGGTAGCAAAAAAAATTTCACAGGCGGTGGGACATTTTTAAAAAACCTAGTTTACAGAGGCGGGTACGGATGGGAAGCGGAAGTCATGGGGCGAGGCGAGCGGGGCATTAAAATTGTTGCATCGATTTTCGATTTGTGAAATAATAGAAATCTTTTTCGAAACAAATATCACAAAAATCCTAACTTTCTATTTATTATTAACCTATCGATTTTTGATTTTTCAGTAGATTTATCGTACACGAATGGATTTTTTTCTATACAACATAGATAAGAGGATGACGTCAGACACACGGTAATTTTTTTCTATGCATAGCAACGAACGGTTACAAGTATGTTTGTTATCTATCTGCGTCGTTTATTTGGTCCAGTAACATTCAACACATAAAGAAAGGTAAAGAAAACAAAAGAACGAGAAAAATATCGGTTTAATTGATTTTACAAACAAAAAGGCCTGTTCTTCTTTCCTCGGTAGGACATTAACACGATATACCTTCAACAATCTGACATCAGATGGGCGAACAGTTGAATTTTCGAGCTCTTCTGCTCAAACTTCAAGATGCTTTATCAGAGAGCGATCGTAAACGACTCCATTTTATTCTCGGAGATTACATACCTGCTGATTTGCGCGATGATTCGAGCATGGGAGGTACACTGAAGCTTCTTGAAGCGCTAGTCAATCAAGCAAAAATCAGTGAACAAGATGTTGGCTTTTTGATAGAAGTATTCAATAAAATTCATTGTCATAGTATTGTTCAAATGTTGAAACGTATGTAACATTACGATAAAAGCTGAACAAAATTGAATTTTCTTTTTCATTCATAGGACATCAACGAATTCAACAGCATCAAAAATCAGTAGAACCCATGATAACAAATGACTCTCTCTTAAATGAATTGTTAGAGGATGATAAGGTGACTTCAACAGGTACATGTCATTAAGAGATAATCATTAAAGAAAAATAACAAGTTCTTTCATTATTTAGACTTTCCCAAAATGATCCCCTTCGAACCTTCCTGTTCTTCTGTATCTACTCTTCTACCTTTGAATACATTGAATTTGATGGAAATACCGTTATTTTCTGTTGATTCACGTCTGATTAAACCGAATGAATCGATTGAAAAGAAACGGTCTCGTGCAAGTCGGTGGTATAAAATATTGAAGCAAAAAACATCGAACTGGTCAGTTATGTTACTCGTCTTCAACATTATTTTTCTCGCTATCACCATTGTTCTATTCACTCTTCATATCCAATTTTCCTCTCAACCTACACAATGTCTGGATAGTAAGTTCTTTTTTATCAAACTATTAGGGCTTGAATATATGTGATCTTTCAACCTTTATTCAATATTCAAAATCAACCTTAACATAACGAAAGAAAGCAAGAGAAAGAGGAAGGCATGAGGTGAACGTACCTCGTCAGAATGACAACAAACACAAGAAAAGATAGAAAAGATGCACATATATATATGAGAGGAGTGGTAGGCGATTAGATTAAATGAAATCGTAAAACAAAGAGAAAGATATATTTAGCTGTTACAACAACGGTGAAATCATAAAGAGTGAAATTAATTCATAACAACATCACAAAGAGAAAGAAAAAAAAACAGAAAGGAAGATCTGGGTAGATGAAGTAAGATAGAATGATGGGCAGTGCAAGCCCGTAACACGAACGATAATCAATATTCATTATTGTCTCGTGACTTGATTTGTAGATATCTACCATGTCAAAGAAGGTTTAATACATGGAGGAGATGGTGGCGAATCATTTGATGATGCAAAAGGCTACGGACTTACCTATGGTGATCGATCCACAGGCGTTGAAATTTACTGGTCACCGTCCTTTGTTCTCAATTCAATCCGATTTATCTACAATGTTTCGACTACGCAAAATAATATTTATCAATATGGATCTCATGGTGAAGATGCCGGATCTCATGAGGTATTTAATCTTCTTCAAAACGAAGAGATTAATAAAATAACAGTGAACGCAAACATTCTATCAACAAAGACACCAAATGTCACTTTACATCTGGTTACTGGCCTTCGATTTCATACAAGTAAAGGACGATCAAGTGAACATTATGGTTCAAGTACTGATCCATCATTGACAGAATCTTATGACGACTACACCCTTTTCTATGTGAAAGGAAAAGCAGGGAAATATATTGACAAACTTCAGTTTATCTGGTTCAAAACATGTTCGCGTATGAATTCAAAGGAATGTATGCCACTATAAAAGACTCGTGTCCTCCATTGACTGATTCAAATGAACGAAAGCAAAAATTGCGTCTCATTTGTTCGTTTTGATACCATTTTTGTAAACTACTTCGCTATTAGAGTTACATAACGCGATTAAAGTATATCTTTATTCTTTCTTTCGTCTTTTTCGAGTTTGTTTGCAATGTAAATACATAAGCAACGATCTGTGTGATTCGAGATATTGCCTAATAACTGCAACAATGGAACGACAATACTGATCAAAAGTTGACGATATAGTAGTGTCTTTTTTTATTAGGTTGGTAAGAAATTTTTGTCATTTTTTTTCATAATTTCCTAGAACAGTTAAGAAAGTTCTAGAAGTTTCCATACTAAGGGTATATAAAGGGAGTGTAAATATCTTTCGAACAACAATAAAACTATGAATATACATGCTGATCTCGAATTAGAAATGATGATATCTCGTAGAGAGCTCCGAGTGCTTCTGCTTCATGAATTCCGTCTGGGTCACAAAACAACAGAAGCAACAAACAACATATGCCATACGATAGGCAAGGATGCGCTCTCCACTCGTACAACGCAACGTTGGTTCAATCAGTTCAAGAACGGTAACTTCGAACCCGATGATTTACCTCATACTGGAAGACAACTAGAGATGGATATGAATCTCTTAACGGAGCTTATTGAAGAAGATCCTAGATTGACTACACGGTATTTAGCAGAGCGTCTTGGGTGCTCTCATATTACAGTGGAGACACATCTGCACGGATTAGGCAAAACGTGGAAATATGGAATTTGGATACCACATGATTTGTCACCACATCAGCTCCAATACACAGTTGATGCTTGTATGGAATTAATGATGCCTCATCGCAACTACCAATGGATTCACAATCTTATTACCGGCGATGAAAAGTGGATGTTGTATGTTAACCACACGCGCAAGCGGCAGTGGCTGGGAACTGGACAAAAAGGTGTAGCAACACCCAAAGATGACCTTAACCAAAAGAAGATTATGCTGAGCATTTGGCGGGGAGTAAGAGGAATTATTCATTGAGAACTTCTTTCAACTAATTTTACTATCCCTGCTGATCTCGATTGCCAACAATTAGATCGGGTTGCGGCAAAACTTCAGGGGAAGTAGGATAGAATTTATTTTTTGCATGACAATACCAGACCACATCCACCTTATTCTTCAGACTTGGCTCCTACGGACTACCATTTGTTCTGTTCTCTTTCTAACCATTTGAAGGAGAAAATGTTCGACGGCGAAAACGACCTGGAAATGGACCTTCTCAACTTCTTTGGCCAAAAGTCGCAGGACTTCTACAAACGCGGGATCCTTTCTCTACCAGAGCGTTGGCGACAAGTCATAGATAGTAATGAAGCAAACATTGTTGAAAGCTAGTTGTATTCTTGATATTAAAAAATAAAAAGAAAATTTTCAAAAAAAAAAAACGACAAAAATGTCTTACCAACCCAATAGTTTTACGTTGAATTAAAGGGTGTAAAATATTTTGTCTTTTTTTAATTTAGTTTGAATTAAAGTAACTCGAAATGTTGGCAAACTATCCGAATGATCCTTAGTGAGCACCTATCACTATACAACCACATCTATCGAGTAATCGGTCAACTGTTGTTGTTCAAGATAGGAACACAAATGTTTAGCACGGATGCCATTGTTTACTTAATTTAGGATTGTGGGCACCGTGTTGGATAGGAGCTTGCTGTGGATGTTGCAAGTAATTCACTTTGATTCTTTACTAGAATTCAAACCAAGATGAGAAATTAAGCTATACATTAGTATACATGTTGTATTCTTTTCGATGGCTTCTCACATCTCCAACATCATTCGATTATCTCGAGGAGATAGGTTCAATTCTCTTTTTATTATTTTATTACAAAAAAAAACATTAGACGAAGAAGAAATATGTTTTCATTTTCGTCAAAAATTCAAAATTTGGTAGTTTTTCATAGAATTTCGTGTTTTCTCTGAGAATTTTGACTGATTACATGTCTCATAGAACAAAAGAAGAAGAAAATCGAAAAAAGGATTATGAGCGTTACTTGTCTCATGTGCTCTCTTTAAAATAAAAACAGAGATATCAAATTTACCTCTTAAGGTAGTCTAATGTTGTTGGAGGGAAGAACAGTTTTTGGAAATTTCTCAAATCGAGGAATTGACAGTCAGAATCAATACCTCGATATTTTGAAAGTATTGAAATCGCTCAAGTTCTTCGGGATGTCTTGATATACCTTCTTTCTGAGATAGATTAGTTTTAAGTTTTAGATCATTAATCTAACCGAATACTAGAAATTCAATGGTGAACATCGAGTGGCTTTCACAAGTGCTTCATCGTTCGTGTAATGTTCCTGCTACCGTCAAAGTCATTTCATTTGAGTCCAAACCACTGAAAGGTGGTTGCCATTTTAACGTATTGAAATTATCTTTGACTTATTCAGAATTCAATGAACAATTACCAGGCTCAATTGTAATGAAAACTGTTCAGTGGAATAAAACACTACTAGAAAAAATTGTTCTTTATCTTAAGAAATCGTTAAATGTGCATGACTATATAGCAATTAAGCTCCATTCTTATGAAACAGAGACCAACTTCTATAAAATATATTCCAATGATATCAAAGGTTTGAAATTGCCGAAAATTTATTATATACATGAAAATGTATTTCAAAATGAATTTAAAATGATAATGGAAGACTTGTCGCATTATGACAATGGACAACCATCTGGATTTTCATTCAACGATTCGACGATTTGTTTGAAACAGTTGGCTCTATTCCATATGGCAAATTGGAATAATCCAATACCAAAATCAGGTGCTAAATTGTGGAACATTGGTGGTTATTGGACAGGAGGCAAAGAAGTATGTCTATGTCAGTGCTAAAAACTTTCAGGATTATTGCAATAATGTTATATACTCATTCAGTGAGAAATTAGATTGAAGTTCAAGACGAATGTATGAGCCGAGCGAGACCATATCGTCATGTTTTAAGCTAACTATCATCAGCACTAATACGAATAGCTGTTTTCCTATACTGTGGACTTCTTGGTATGATGTGTGTGTGAAAACACAGATTGCTGCTTTCATGGTGATTGTCAATGAAGCGAGATCCATGAACGAAGCATATGAAGCACATACTATGAACAGGAAACAACGATGGCATGTTCACATCAGACTCACGAGGAAATCTTTAAGATTGCTAATTACTTCGACACTCGAACTAACTGCATCGTGTAGGTCCCAGTAAGTAGTACAAGACAATATGCATGATAGTTTTATTGTAGTTTGGTGTCATTCTCGTCTAAAATAGCTAGATATTTGAGTTCTATCTGCTCTGTATTTTATTTAAGGCGAACAAGAATGACATACGAAAAGCTTGGGATTTGACTGTACAAAATTTTCATCACGAACTTCAAATATCGGAATCGTCGAAAAATTTTGGTTCTGTATTGGAATCACGATTAAGTGATATTACGTTTGCCTTCAATAATTTACAACCACGCACAATTATTCATGGAGATTATAGACTAGCAAATATTTTTATCGATCGTAATGCAAATGAGAGTCAAATCTATGCTATTGATTGGCAATGGTGTGGCATTGGACATGCTGCTATGGATGTAGCTTCTTTTATAGCTACATCAGTTCATGAAAATACAATTGAAGATTCATTGGAACTCGTCCATTTCTATCATAAAGTATTAACAGATAATGGAGTTCCATATTTGTGGGAACAATTTTGGCAAGCATACCAAATATGTTGGATTGATTATTTTATTTTTACAGTAGTCGGCAATTGGAGTGCAATGCAAGCAAATGACATTAAATTGTATAAAAAAGAAGAAAAATATGGATTACATGTACGCTCTCATGCTCATATGAAAAATCTTTTAACGCAAACTGAAATATTCATGAAAGATTTGGAAACATCATCAGTGTTTCAATTGACAGAACGTCACTAAGTTCTAGGACTAGACCGTTTCAGTTCGACTTCGAATGGGACTGAGGTTGCTTCAAGCACAGATGGGCCGGATATAAATGTCAGGTGGCCTGACAAAACGTTTTTTTTTATACATCTTTAAATTCAAAATAAATTTTCTTTCAACTGAACCACTTTTAAAACAAAGGTGTTTAGTGGACGAGCACTTTTATGGTTGGTAGTGAATATGAGTGAGGGTGAGGTGTAAACAAAATATACTGTTACACGTTATCACGGTAACATCTGTAATGTTGGGCTTTGTATTATAGTTTGTTTTCATGAATATGTTACTTAAAAACATGTCTGAATGTTTTTATATGATGTAAAATTCCGTGTACAGGATTTACTGCCGCGGGATTTACTGCCGTAAACAATTTTCATAAGGCGCGCTTTGCTTTCGTGCGAATTCTTAAAAAAATTAATTAACAAATTTGTTCACAACTATTTTTCCTTTTATGGCCTTTTTCACCCCCCCCCCCTTGCTCTTATTAAGGATTTAAGCGATTTAGAAAAAAGGAAATTATATGGAATAGTTGCTTGATTTATATTTTTGCTCGAATCTGCTCTTTTTATAACAGGAAAAAACATTTGAATGTTATCCTCCATACGATATAATATTCGTGCAAAGAATGGATTTTTACGTTTCAGTACTCAATTGCTGTTTTAGCATTAATCGATTAAAAGAAATGAAATAAATCAACTCTTATTGTGTCAATATATATATGGGGATGATCAGTCTGGCTGGATACCCCATTAATATTTCTTTTATTGTAAGGATAAAAAGTACTATTATTCAGGTCATATGAGAGAGGATACCAGATAACCCTAGATTGGTTCGAGCAGTACCATGTTTTGTCCTTACAATCGTAGAGAAAAGCTAGCTGTTTATCGTCTCACTCGGTAACTTTTCTCTACTAATGTTCAATCAGCATCAAGTGTATCAATGGAACAAAATTTAAATAATAATATAGAAAATCATAATGATCATAGTGATGGTAGTACTAATGGTGCTACTAATATCAATGGTAATCATAATGATGCTATTAATCGTAATAATAATGATAATCATAGTAATTGTGTTAATCTTAATGATATTGCTAATCATAATGATAGTTTAAATCCTAATAATAATGAAACTAATAATCATTCTCTTAATCATAATATTAATGCTAATATATTTGGTAATATAAATAATAGTATTAATCAAAATAATAACAGTAATACAAATAACATAATTAATCAAGATCAAAATGAAGAAACAGAAGAAGATATTGTTGAAATCGTCAATATACAAAATAGTATGTTTTATAAAGAAATAAAAAAAAACATCAAATATAATATTTCTAAAAAGAAAAATATTTCTAATAAAAAACCTTTTACATGTATTAGAACAAATTTTCTTTCATTGTCTAATGATTAAATATTCTATTTCCATCTATAACCTAAGAATTTAATTTTAATGTTCATTAAAGATAATGAATCAAATTTATTAAAAATCAATCAAATTAATATTGATATCGATTTTCCGTAAGGTCTTCATTTTTCTCACTAATATATGTTTTTTTTAATATATTTTACATGTATTTATTTTTAATTTATCTGAGCCAATATATGCTTCATTTCTTTTACATATATATATAATAAATAATTTTGCATTATATTAAAAAAGAATAATTTAAATATGCTATTATTTAATTCTCATCATAAATTATATTTATTCTTTTCTTTATATCCTCTTATACGTATAATACAGATGGTCATTACGAGCCATAGTTACATATAAACATCAAAAAAGAACATACGTTAACTCAAATGGTGAAGGAGAAGTCTTCACCTGTGATTTAGCTGATGAAACGAGCGAGATAAATTTAGTAGCCTTTAATCTCGACTCATACATGATGTCGACCAAGTTAATTGAAAACAAAGTAATAAAATATTATTAAAAAAAATTACTTCGTTATATATATATATAGTCATACGAATTCAGCGGTTTATCTATTCGTACTGTTGATCCTGCTTATAAAAAGTTACCACACGATTACCAATTGATTACAACTACAACCAGTAAAGTACGAGAAATTATTGTTCCGTTCGAGTACCAATTAATCTGTAATTTTACACATTTGCGTCATGTTGAAACACTACCATTACACTCAATAATTGGTTCGTATTCATTAATGAAAATTAATTTTAAAATATTGATAATTTATATAATGAATCATATAATATAGATGTTCACGTGAAAGTTTTAAGAGATTATGGAATAACTGTAGGAAATACCAATTCTAATATGTGGAGTCGACGTGAACTCCATGTTGCTCAGGATGATGTTCATATCAAATTAACATTATGGAATGATCAGGTTCTATTATATAAAAAATTATTTGATTTAATTTTATTATTATTAGGCAAAAAAAATTTCAGGAACAATAATCAATAAATATTTAAAATTAAAAAATGTTAAAGTTGATTGGTTTAATGGTAAATTGTTTTGCATACATCCTTTTTTTAAATAATCGTTAACCTTTTCTAAATATTTAGGTTCACGTACACTCATTTCTATGCCAAATACACGTGTGGCTATTGTTTAAATCATTCTAATACGTGAACGTTATTAATATTCAATACTCTTCTAACTTTAAAAAAATTCAGAATATATTTAATCATGTTGCAATAATTTTATTTTTTAGTTTGCAATTATTTCAATTAAAAAAAATATATAAAGTGTTTTTCTTTTCTCTTAAACTATTTAAATTAAGTTATCAATTATATCTAAATATCATAAATAAAATTAATCTAGAATCTATGCTTACAATAAACAAAGATAAAATTCATTTAATAAATAAAATACTTATTGTTCGATTTGAATGTTCAAATTGAACAAAAATAAATAAAAATAAAATTCATGTAATGAATAAAATATTTACTGTTCGATTTCAATGTTCAAGTTGAACTAAAATAAACAAAAAAACATATTGAATTAACGGGGTCCCCCCTCAGAAAATTCAATTTTTCGAAGACGCGTCGAAATTGAAGTTTTACTATAGAAAGATGCACCAAAGCCTGGTATTGATACTGTATACGATCGATATATGTATCATATTTATTTAAATCGTAATGGTCGTTGGACATTATCAAAAAATATTCTTGAAAAATTAGTTCATATGCATGATTTTGATTTAACAAATAGATTTCCTGATATAAGACGTTTTATATATTTATTTGTTAATGAAAAAACAATAAATTTTCTTGTTCAAATGGATAATTTATCATATGGTGTTGTATTTTGTTCAGTAACAAATGATTGTATAACAAATGAAAAATTAAAATTAATTGAATTACCACGTGCTCAACAACTATTAACAATTTATTCAGCATTTATTAAATCTTTAAATCAAGATTTTTTTTTATTAATGATCTGTCAATTGATATTTTACATATATTAAATATAGAACAATATTTAGAATCTTATTCAGTTGATTGTTATGCTATTTATTATGTAGCTGATAACCATGAATTAATAATTGTAACAAATAATTCGATATCTTCAATAAATTTAAATCAATGAAATTTATTTTTTACAAAATTTTCTAACAAACATTTATCAAATGTATAGTGTTATTTTTTTTGTTTGTTTTCTTTTCATACATCATTAAGTGATTTTTGTTTCGATACGAAAATAACTTCTCTGTTTTTGAGCATGAGATATTTTTGTTTGTTTTTTTTTGTTTTATTAACGTATGAAATAAAGAAAATAAAAACAACAAATACGAATTATCAATTGTTTAGTTCATAGATGGAACTGATATCGATCTATACCAGTCTAAAATCTTCATTTTACTGATCTATGATTGTATTCATATAAAAAAAACAGTAAGTGGAACTAAGCCTAATCTCGTAACATATAGTTTAGAGAACGTTCTCAATGAAACTTTTGATGCTTGTGTTTGTCAACGTGATAAACGACTACCACTATCGGTTGGTAACAATTTTTTTTCAAGCTGTATATTTAATTCTTCAATATCATGATTTGTAAATTCCTCACGTGTATCAAATGTAACCATAAAACCTGGTGAAGGTCGTGTTACACTGGCAACAGATTGACCAACGGGTATTTCTTGACGATTTGTATTCATTGATTGTGAACGTTTAAGTTTTGTTGATGGTGTTTGTGGTGCATTTGGTAATGTCTATGATAATGGACACGAACCAGTTAAAGGACCACGAGAAAATTTTCGAATACCATATTTTAAACCTAAAGATATACAATTTTTTCTAGAATAGGAAGAAGTACTGGACTTTCCTTTTTTGTTTGCAGTTTTTCTTTCATAATCAAATACAATTTTGGCTTAAGAAAAAAAACTGACAATTTTTTAAAAGTGATGGTGCGTATCTCTAACACCCTTTGAACTAGAGCCCATTAGGCCCAAGATTTTCTGGGTCTAAGTATGAATTGGACCACATGGGCTCTATCCACAAAAGATCAATCAGCCAACAACGGAGCATTTGCAGGTGTCCGAGCGCTTAATAATATCATTAATCTATTGAATATTATTGATTGTTTAGTTAATATGCAATAAATTCGATAAACAGTATATCTTCAGTACGAGATATGCTTGTTACATATGAGAAAAATTCCATTCGAATAAATAAGTCAAATTATTTAGAAATGCTGCTTCTTTTCTTTTTTTTCTTATTAACAATATTTATCAGGTAATGACTTCATCAGTTATTGTGTAATAAGCTAGATGAAAAGTTAAGACACAAGAAATGTGACTTTTTGAATTTTTAACAAAAAAAAAGCAATATGTTCATCGTCTAAAGTGTAGATGCAAAATATTATTAACTAAGCATATGGCATGCGATAATTTCAATGATTTTCAAATATTTTAAACGTCCATATATAAGTTTTTTTTTACCCTTACTATGCCATTTCAAAATTTTACAACTTTCAGTATTGTTTTATTGATTTTACTTTTCATGAAAAATAAAAGAGAAAGAAATCTTTCTTTTTTTTTGTTGATTATATAGAAGAATTCAATTTGAAGAAATCTAATGATCAAAATTGTTGAATATCAATTACAATAACAACATATCCTACAAGACTTTTTTATTGTTTATAGAGTTCTTTTTATTTTGTCATTTTAAAGTAAGTCAATTCTACGTCTTTTCATCGAAATGATTTTATTTCATAACAGCTACAAGATTTATTCATTAATTATTTTTATTTGCTTATAGTATACTTCATATTCTATTGATCTTTAAGGATAATAAACTTTTTTTTTATTAATTAAAATGTTCTTGTGATTATAATAACAAAAGAAAAGGTTTTATAAATAAACACTGAACGTTATTTACAATGAAGGTGTTGATGTTGATAATAAAAAAGAAAGGACATATTCAGGACAAATAAAAGCTTTCGTCGCCCCACTAACAAGGTTAAAATATTAGCGGCCCTTGGGTTACCTAGAGGGAGATATTTAAATTGTTAGGTAGGTGAAATTCAGGTATAAAAATGAATCAAAGAAGATTTTCTCCACTATTATAAGGACAAAAACATAGTGTTGTTCGGATCATATGAAAGAATGGTCCCTACAAACCTCATAATCGGCCCAAACGACACTATGTTTTGTCCTTATAATAGTGCAGAAAACCTTTTTTGATTAATTTTTATACTTAAATTTCACATACTTTAAAATTTAAATATCTCCCTCTACGCAAGCCAAGGGCCGTTAATATTTTAACCTTGTTAGTTTGACGATGTGAGTTTTGATTTGGCCTGAATATGTCCTGTCTTTTTCATTATCAACACAAACACCTTCATTGTTAGTAATTATCATACAATGTATTAACATCCCTAGGAGCCATTATACGAAAGAGACGGCCCAAGTACGGACCATGTGCT